TGCTGCCCAGGTGTTTGTGTGTGGGATTGAACCGCCTCACGTGTGGTCCGTGAGGCCCCATCAGGCAGCTCTAGTGGGCCCCCCAAGCACTGAATGCAGTTTCTTGAATAGAGTCGTCACTTAAAACACCACACTGCAGGGTATTTGGAGTCGCTGCTGCATTTTTATAAAACGATCAAGTTCAGAAGATTCATTTGTCGTTTTTGACATGAACAATTCGTTTGATCTCTGGTTGCGAGAAGGTAAGAACAATCTGAGGTAAACATGATGGAGTGTTTGTGTCGGGAAAAGCCCCATCTAATTACAGGAGAAGATCTGTTGGCGTTCCACACGTTTCCAAGAGCCTTGTGGCATGTCCTGGCAGCTCCCTCAAACAGTTACTATAGTTTTTGCAAGGGAGAAGAGATGAAACGTTATCCTTGCTCCTCTTTTTCAGACTCTTCTCGCTGGCATTTTCCAAACAAAAGAACAACGTGAGCCCAAGGAGCGTACAGTGTCATCTTGCAACATAGTGGTACTTTCTTCTAGAAAAAAAATGTGTGAGAGTATGAAACTGTAGTCTGAATTGCGTGTATTGAGTTTCTTGTGATGCTCTCCCCCTCACCTGAGGGCAGTCGGAGGCCTGGATATGAATTGCTAAAAGAAGGGCCAGTCTTCGCTCACCAAGGTTGTACTTTGTGTACAAGAGTTGTGTCCTGCTTTCTCCCCCTTTCTCTTTCTTGTTCTTTCCCTCTTTCTTTGTTAATATTTGACATTTTTTTGACCCTCAGCACATCTCCTAGCCTTATTGTATAATATGAAAAGCGGCCAATTATTTGGATGATTTTGCTATATTTTGTAGTAAGGGTTATTGTTGTTAAAGGCACAATAGGAGATCTTGGAAAATGCTAACTTTAGCCTGATAGCACTGAAAGCGAATGTCCCAACCTCCCTGCAATCGCCGCGGGGGGGGGGTGCGAGGACTGGAATTGGGTACCGCGTTGGGCTACATCATGTGTCATTCACCGGTGCGAAAACTTTATAGTACAGATAGTAGAAGTATTACAATACCAGGAAGGAAGATCGGGTTGTTGATGTTTGTCTGCCATTCCCGCTCTGTCTGCACAGCATGCGTGAACGCGCTGATGACGTATCCTGTCTGCATGAACAGGGTGCGCAGAGGTATGCAAATACATATGTTAACAGGCAGGTAGGAAAGCCAATTAAAACGCTCGGACCGAGTGTTTTAATTGGTTGAACATTTCTTGGTCCTACGCCTTCCACAGAATATATAAATACAGATAAATACATTTAGACCACTTAACTTAACTTAACTTCAACCAGCATAACAAAAAAATTTTCTGAAGACAATCACCTATTGCACCTTTAATTTACATACTTATTTTCATGTGTCAGAAGAAATTAGTTATGTCAGAAAAAATTTAATACATAAAAATAAATAAATGTATATATTTATTTAAATATATAGATGAATAAATATTTTATAGATATTTTCTGACCTTATAAATATGTGATCTCAGTCTGAAGTTATATTCTAATTAACATTCACACTATTTGTGTACATTGATAGACTTAAGATAATGGTGTTTAAATTGCTCTTGGCTCTTTTTTGTACTCTATAGGAAGTTGTTATATTATGTCAAGCAGATTTTGATGTCATTAGGCTAAATTACAGGAGATATGAAATATCTGATTTTCTCCCCCTGAAGATCAGTATAGTGCTGTCTTACCATAAGAGTGTTGTATGACATTTTGCCTGAGTCCATAATATCGAACTGATGATAAATGTTAGTATCGTACTGCAAATACAGAAAGGATTCTGGCTGACATTCTTTATTTGATTTGGATCATGCAAGACTGTGCTCAAACACTTCATCAACTACCTTTTTTTCGCTTCAATTTTCCACACAAAATATAACAATATATTTTAATTTAGTTTTATTACATTTTATTTATTTTTACTTCTGTAACTTTAGTATGTATTTCTTTCTTTCTGTTGATTTAGTGGTGAAATCTGACCTACATATAGAGTGGGGAAAAAAAGTATTTAGTCAGCCACCAATTGTGCAAGTTCTCCCACTTAAAAAGATGAGAGAGGCCTGATCAGGAAGTGTTTTCGAATCAAAATAGTAATGGGATACTTCATAAGACTTCATAATGTCTTTTTATAATTTTTCAGCAATGATGCAGCTAGACTCTGTACTGCAAAGCCAATTTATATAAATATATTTATAACCTAAAAAATATTGGGACACTTTTTTTAATGGAGGCCTGTGCCCCAGTACTGATGAAAGGCTGGAAAAGCCCCTGGTTTACAGAAGTTTTAGATGCAGTGTGAAGCAGCATGTAACACTGCATGACTCTGCTGTCATTGCTTGACATGTCATATCAACTACCCAGATACATTGTTTGGCACATCACTTAGGTAACTGAGCAAATGTGACAGTCTGGAAAGTATTCCCCTTCCAAAGTTGTTAAGCAGATGGCAGTTCGGGATAACCCAGTGCATTAACACAGGTCTCCTGACAAATGCTGCTATTTCAGGTAGCGCTGATGAGAACATCCGCATACAGGATTCTGGTACAGTATGTCCCACATAGCTTTTGGCACAGACTATATGAGGAAAAAGTGCAGCATGCTGTTAGGATTGGCATATGAGCATATAGAAGCTGACATGATGGCATAGATACAGTCATGTTGCTTATTTAGTTACCCCCAATTCCTATAACCTTAATGCAAAAAAATATTCTTTTCATTTCTTTGATAAAAAAAAAAAGTTGTTTGCATTGTAAAATGTTTATATTTTATATTGTCCTGGTCATTTTTTCATTACATTTTTTAAAATTAATTTTGTCAGCAAACTTGGAAGTTGATAACCTTGGTGTGGACTACACTGACTAAAGTATGTTTTTCGGGGGTCTTTGTTAGATAAGTAGTCATTTCTTTCTTTTAACGTACAATGGAGGTCATAAAAGGTTCAAAAATGGTCCCTGTTATCTCTAAATGAACCCACGGCCTGTTGTTGGCTCACATATTTTCCTGCACTTTAAAGAATAGCATGCAATCTCTGATATACACTCATCCCGGCCCAACCATTAGCTATCTTGGTAACCCACCTGCGAGCGCTGAAATTGTTGAAGCTAACTGTAGAGACAGACAGCAGAGGGCTGATTAGCTTGGATTCCACCTTCAGGTCTTGTTTGTGCAGTATCAGACAGCTCACAGGTGCTCACATCTATCTCTCTGTTTGAAGTGGATCAAAGGGCTTTGGTCAGACACATGGTCTCACACATGCTTCAGCACACTGACTCCATGCAGATGTTTACCATACACATGACCTCACTGGGCCAGGAATGCTCTTTGTAATTACAGAGGGTCACTCGATACTGGCAACGAAGGAAAGCAGAGCACAGAAAAATTATATATTGTTCTTGGAATCTCTTTGAATGTCTTTGAGGTAATGGTGTACTGTAGATTATGTAATGGATACTTAATCAGTGGGTCATTAGTGCAAAATATGACATGTCGGGGTACAAAAATGCTGATACTTCAGCAGTCATTATGGAAAAGTATTTCAGAACAAAGGTGTTTTTGGTGCTAGATAATCCTATTTATCTTAAACCAGACATATTTTACTTCAATTTTTCTTTTTCTGGATGTATCTTTAGCCTGTCATTAAAAAAAATCTAAATTTAGGTTAATCTACTTTTTACTTTTTTTATTAAATTAAATTAAATTAATTAATTAATTTTATTTATTTGTTTATTTTATTAAATTTTTTTCTGAATATTTTCATAGCCTGTCATTAAAACATCTAGCATTGGTTGTTTACATTTTTGGTTACATTTTTAAATTTAAAATGTTACAATTATTTACTTTTTTAAATATATTATTTTTGATTAATTTGTTAATTTGTAAAATTTATATGTTTTTTATTTATTTTATTTTTTGACAATATTTGAGAGATTTTAAAACCAACTTTGAGAAATCATGCTATACTACGAACATGAAAACTCCAATTTAGCAAAAATTTCAAGACAGTTATTGTTGGACATACAGGAATAACATTAGTGTTTCCATTATTATGTATAATCTGTATAAAGTTTTTAATTATTTATTTATTATAACTGAGAAGTGAATATTTGTCTGAAAAAAATAAGTTCTTCTCTGCCTTGCATAACCAGTTCTATCAAATATATTTGTACATTTTTAGCTAATGTTCTAATTTCTTAACTTTTCTCTTCATCTTCGTCAAACTATTAATACTTTCATAACAGTTCATGTTTACATTCGAAGGCTTTTTCTTGCCATTTCATTTCTTTAATAAAGACAGGCTACTGATGTTATCTGGGGGCTCGTCCGGGATATTACTACTATAATATTGAAATATTTGTGCTTTTAAAGCATTTCGTTATTGTGTATCTTGTTAAAGTGGTTACTGTAGTTCAAATATCCCATATTATGAGAAATACATTAAACATGTTGGGTCACTTGAGGGCTGAGAGAGGAAGTCTGAATGTATATTATGGTATGGAGCTGCAGAGCCTCCACAGTGCACTGCAAATTTTATGAGCCCCGTTTCTAATGACAAGGGGGCAATCACATGAGGAAACCGGAGGTAATTTTGGCAAAAAAATTCTTGTTAAATGAAGTGGAGTGCCTACATTGCTGTAAGTGCTGTACACACATTGGCTTTAGAGAGTCATTAGGTTAGTTTCTGGGACCGTTCCTCATTCTGGCTGTAATGAAACGCAGCATAAGGGTATTACCTGCTCCACCTGAGGAGCCTGGATTACTGTAGTATTGCTGATATGGCACAATGAAACTAGCCCAGGGCAAATATGAATGCTTTATTTATAGAAGATATATTGCTGGCCATTTTTATCATTTTTGTCTGCCTTTGTTGAGCTGCTTGCAAGAGGTTTCCAGAGCACCATTGAAGTGTGCAATGAAATGATGATTTGTCTTCAGTCCATGTTTGGTTGTTTTTGTTCAGAGATTCGAGCCCAACTGGTGGAACAGCAGAAATGTCTAGAGCAGCAGACGGACATGAGGGTCCAGCTCCTTCAGGACCTCCAGGACTTCTTCCGCAAGAAGTCAGAGATCGAGATGGAGTACTCCCGCAACCTGGAGAAGCTCGCCGAACGCTTCATGGCAAAGACCAGGAGTACCAAGGACCATCAGCAATATAAGTGAGTGTGTTATATGAATGATTAATACTTGCAACTCTTTTGTGGGTTGAATCTAGAACTTTTTGTACTCTGGCCCAGATCTTTAATCACTTACCCACACCATCATTATTATTGTCTAAAGGTTTATGATTGTAAGATTGAACACTTTGACTTCTCCTAAATTGCTATGTGTGTCACATGAACGATTTTGAAATGATGCTGTCTTTTATTCAACATATGAAATCATGTTGAAAGGGAAATATGAAGTTATCCTTTTTTATTTTACATTAAGAAATGAGAGAATTTATATTTTATGCTACACTTTTCATATCCAATCTTAATTTTTGAAATAAGTGTTGGAATTGAAAATTAAGTTTGGAATTTTCCAAACTTGTGTGAAGATTTCATATCAGCTTTTTTTGTAAAATATATACGTCTCACAATGACATTTTAATGAGTAATTTTTTCTAAACCATTACTTGCCACATATGTTTTCCTGCTGATTTATTCCCAGTGTAGTGCATTGAGACAGGCACGAACCGTGATCATGGTCTCATTATGCCAGTAGAGTCACTGGCTGGAAAAGACAGTCTACATCTATATAATGTTCGTACAGAAACCGCTGGTACAACTCAAAATATTGAGTGTGTTTGCTTTTCACTTCTGTAAATAGTCTCTAAATGAGTCCAGCAGCTGTGAGCACAACTGGAGGCAATGGAGAATCTTGGTCGTGGAGCTTGTGGTTTATGTGGCCTGTCTGTTTGTGAGCAGAATAAGATACTTGACACAATTCACTAACATATTCTGAAAGACAAGGACTTAAACTTGCCAGTTCAAAGATGCAGAAGTAAAGAAGGGTCCAGATTACAGTGTGATGTGATGCAAATTGCTCGTTTTTGTCTTTTGGAGATTAAAAAACGATAAAGTGCTGATGTTAGTTGGGCGGCCAGTTCTAAAGCCAGCTTAGCTCAGCTGTGTGTCGGATGAATTAGCATCAGAACGAGTTTGCAGAAATGTCTGTAATTAACAGAAAGGCTCATTTCTAAAGCATAATCTTAAGTAATTTTACCAGGTCTCTTAGCTAAACTTGGACTCTTCTGTAACCACGGGGCTTCAGTAAAGAGGTCCAGACCGTGGTCTGCGATTGTATCCCATTTTATTCCGTAGTCCAGAGGTCTGGCCCGATGTCTGACCGATGGCGTCGTGATGAGGCCAGCTGAGCCAAAGCAGAGGGTGTGCTTTACCCCTTCACTGAAGTTGGCTGGATAATTGTGGTCAGCAGAATTCTGCAAAACCAGTGAGAGGTTAAGCAACTATTTGTCAAGAAACACAGTTTACTCTACCTGTGGGATTGTAGTTACAGAATCAGTCTTCTCACTGGCACTGGGAGCATCTCAGGTGACTCAGAGCAAAGTGTGATGGATCAGGCCTGAAGGTTGGAGACCAGAGAGATGTGGTCACTTTACAAATGCATAGCTAGTGTATGTTTGAACTTGGTTAGCTCCTAACCGAAAGTTTCCATTTTAGAGTCTGTTTTTTGGTATAAAGTGAAGATTTGATTTGTGACTTCTGTAGAGGATTTTACGTAGAAGAATGTGATAAACCAGAAATGACCACAGGATCTAATTTAGCTATAAATAAAGTGCCAGGATGACAAATCAGACATTTTAGAGAATAATGATAACCATGACAGTAAGGACTTTTATATTGTTACAAACTTTCTTTTTCAAATAAATGCTGTTATTTTGAACTCTTTATTCATCAAAGAATCCTGAAAAATGGTTTCCACAAAAATATTAAGTAGCACAGCTGTTTTCAACATTGATAATAATAAGAAATGCTTCTTGAGCACCAAATCAGAATGATTTCTGAAGGATCATGTGACACTGAAGACTGGAGAAATGATGCTGAAAATTAAGCTTTGCCATCAAAGGAATAAATTACATAAAAAATTTATTGAAATATAAGTTATTTAACATTGTAAAAATGTTTCACAGTATTACAGTTTTTACTGAAAGAGACTTTTAATAAAAAACAATAAATAAAATCTTGCCTACCCAAAACCTTTGAACATTAGTGTATATTTTAATAAATAAATATTTTTTAGTAAATATTGTAAAATTTACACTGTAAGAAAAATATCTGTAGGAAAACTGAACAGGTACTGGTAGTTTTCTGCCAGAACAATATATGTTAATTATACAGACATTTCCTTCAAGCCTAAAATATAACACAATGCAACGCGTAATTCAAAATACTCAAATTCATTCATAATACCATAGTACATTGTGCCCTATTATTACAGACTTTTCTTACAGTGCATGCCAATTGTCATATTATATCGGCCCTATAGATTTCATATTGACTTCATATTATATTACTAGTTCTTTAGTAGGTTCTATCCACATATGTGCATCCTTACAAGGCAGTGTTTTGTGAGCTGTGTGGTTAAACTTCTCCCAGATGACACTGTCGTCGTGGCGACACATCGACTGGTGCTTAGTTTAGTGCACGTGTTTGTTGAGCTAACAGGCATCACACACTGTTTGCCCAGGGAGGCTGCTGGACTCAGGATGGGAATTATTTCATTATATGCATCATCCAGCTGCCACTCCTTGGACAGCAGATTTCCTTTTATTATCTATCATTTAGCAGATGCATTTTAGCCAAATAGACCTTCCACAAGGACACATCTCCTCTAGGAAACTGAGCTTAAGTGCCTTTTTATATATTATATTATAAATCTTCTTTAGGAAACTGAATTCAGGTGCCTTTTTTAGGGTACAAGTTATAAGTTTAACCTTTGGTTTAGGGTATAAGTTTGAACCTTTGTCATTTTGGTTGCATGCCTAAAATTAAATGCAGTGCACTTAGGCATTAGGATTTATGCTTTGCCCCAGTAAGGTTGGTTTCAGTTGTCCGCATGATTGTACCTTCATGCGCATTCATTTGATGCCCTTGTTGTAGGATGCCAAACTCTCCAGTGAAGCACTCTAGTTTGCTCTGGCACTTCAAAATCGATGAGCTGTCAATATAATGTTTGCGATCTGCGGGATGTTTACACCAGCACCGAATGAAGTTCCTCTGGCTACAGTGTTGATGTAGTTACTGCATCGCTTGTAGTGTGTTTATACCACTGCTGGTTATTTTGATATTAGCACATTAGAGGCACGTTCATTTTGTTTAGAAAACCAAGTGTAATTCATTTGGGTAATTGCCACCAGTGTAGTTGCTGTATATAGACTTGCTTACACCTGGGATGTGGAACATGAATAAAAGATGCTGTCTTTGAAGATAGAGTTTTGTAATGGCTTTCCTCTATCTTTTTACTGTGTGTTCCACAGAAGAAATTGAGTCATGATGAGGGTTTGGAATGAAATGAGAGAGAGAAAAAAAACAAGTCAAGGTGAACTATTGCTTTAAAGGGGTCCTATTATGCTTTTTCACTTTTTTAATTTTAGTCAGTGTGTAGTGTGTATGTTTGGGCATAAAAAAGATCTAGAAAGTTACAAATCTCAAAGTCCACTCCAAAGGGAGATATTTTGTTTTTAAAAAATGCCTTTTCAAGAACTACAACGAACGGCTCGTTTGGACTACAGCGTTGGTTTCCGGGCTTTGTGATATCACAAAGCAGCTCATTTAGAATATCATTAAAAATAATTCCCGCCTACAGAAATGTGAATGGTTGGGGGGTGGGGAGGGGCGAGTTTGTGGTTAGAACGCTTGGTTGAGTGAGTGCATCAGATGAGACGACGACAAAGAAGTGCTGCTGCAGAGTTAGTGCATCAGAGAAAACGAAGAAGAAGAGCTGCTGTGCTGTAGCGTCAACTTTTCGGCATGTCTAGAACAATTCTTACAAGTACAACCCGACGTAGCTGGGTGCCGCGGACAGATGCCGAATGGTGCCGCTGGTGTGCCTACACTCATAGAAAATAATGTATTTAAATTTTAAAGACGTGGCGTGACATGACGCTGTGCTTCTCGTCTGGTGTGCGACCGCCTGAAACGCTGTTTTTTTCACCTCCGTGCCCAAACGTCTTTGTTTGGGCTTCCGAAAGCGGATGATGTCAGGAAACAGTGGTTGCAATTTATTTTTTAACTCTGTCCCTGAGCATTATATAACCCCAATTTGCTATTGTGTGCTGCGCATTTTACTGAGGACAGCTTCCACAACATGAGGGAGTACAGTGCCGGATTCGCCAAAAGCTTTTGTTGAAAGACGGAGCAAGGGGCGTGGCAGTACTGAAACACCGTCTAAGCTGTTTGCCAATCACAACGCACTGGGACAGCTAACCAATCACAACACATTTTGTTTTTCGGAAGGCGGACCTTCATCAAAGCCGGAACTAATCGAGCCATTTGTGCCAGGATGGGGAGAAAGGTATTTTAATAAAGTAAATTATGTGAAAAATAATGCGTTTTTTGAACCACCAAGCATGAGAGCATGTTCTAGTACACCCCCAAAACAAAATCAAGACTTTGTAAAAGAGCATAATAGGACCCCTTTAAAGTTGGTTTCGATGCACCTTCCTTCATTCCCATTCTGTCTTTACTCTCTGGAGTAATTTTACATTTTTAAATCTTCCGTTCCCTTGAAATGATCTAGTCATATTGTGAATTCTTTACCTTGAATTCCATCAGCTTTCTTCACTGACTGTTTTCTCCTCTCAACTCATTTTTAAGTTTTATGATCATAATCTGCCCTGTGCAGTGATTTGAGAGCACAAAGATGTGAGTTGTGCATCGGAGCATAGTGGAGAGGTGGTTGCTGTGTCGTCCTTTGGAGGGAGAGGTGGTCACTTGGAGGCCAATTGTTATTTAATCTTGTCTGAGCAGTAGCACTGATTTACTGCAGCCTTTAATGGTGCAGCTGGCTCTCTGTTCTCTACTCAGCAGTACTGGCTGCTTTTATCAGTTCTGATTAGTCACATGCTTTCCAAATTAACTCATCATGCCTTATGATCCTTATGACCCAGTGTGACAGCTTCCTCTCCAGTCATCATCACTCCTGTTTTACCCAC